GAACGATGCTCTGTTGAGCAAATTCAGATTTGAGATTTTCTAATTTGAGTGGAAATAGTATGAGATAGCAACCATGTAAGATGAGATGAGATACCCTGGAATGATTTCAAAACCCTCTTTCCCTTTTATTTAGTACCATTGTCTTTTGTATGAACACTACTGTTCGAAAGTTTGGGGTCAGTCCTTTTTTTAAAGAAATAAATTCTTTATTAAGCAAGGACACCTTTAATCAAAAGAGACATTGTATAATTTTACAGAAGTTATCTATTTTAAATAAATACTGTTCTTTTGAACTTTCCATTCATCAAAGAATCCTGAAAAAAAAAAAAAATTTTTTTCCACAAAAAGATTAAGATGCATGACTGTTTTAAACATTGATAATATGTTTATTGAGCTCCAAAATCAGCATATATTAGAATGATTTCTAAAGAATCATGTGACACTGAAGACTGGAGTAATGGCTACTGAAAATTCAGCTTTGCCATCTCAGGAGTAATTATATTTTAAAATATATGAAAGTAGAAAACAGTTCTTTTAAACTGTTATGATATTTCACAATATTACTGTTTTTACTGTATTTTTGATCAATTATATGCAGCCTTGTTTTTGAGCATGAGAAACTTCTTTCAAAAACATTAAAAATCTTACCAACCCCAAACTTTTGAACTATAATGCACGCTGTATATGTAAACATATCTAATTTTTTTCTCTCTCTCTTTATTTTTGTTAGTCTTTTTGATTATCAGTGCAGGATAAATAACTGAAAGTCAGTGGATTTGTTTTCTGCTGAGCTTCAGACCAGTATGGACCGCAGAAGCAAAATCTATATCGTCCTATACTGGATGTTTACATTTTCAATATAGTCCAAAATACCCATGCACCTGTATGTTATGTTCATAACCGTGATCGATTCTGTGTCATGCTGGACTTCCTTTGTGCACGTCTCGCTTTATGTAGGTTGCACTGATGATATGTTCCTTTTGTTTAAAGGAACTGGATTGTGATGTTTAGGCTGTTATTGTGGCGGTGCTCATTTCAGAGGCTGGAATGTGTGTGCCTGTGTGTAGTTTCTGTAACTCTAGGCAGAAGCTGTGAGGCCTTGACTGTAGCCCTGTAGAGAGGCCCATTGAAGGGGAAGTTGGCTCTGTATGTGTGTGTGTGTGTGTGCATGCAGACCACTGGGATTGGACACAGGGTAGAAAGACCCCCTGTACGGAAGGAGGGAAAAAGGGAGGAAAGAGGAAGGAGGAGTCAATTACACTTTTCTGGTCATGTGTGTGTTCTTGCCCCGTGTTTTGCATGGACAGAGTGAGTGGTCGCGTTACGGCAAGGGTAACCAAAGACGAATACGTAAAAAGGCTATTCACAGGTTTCTCATTAGTAAACAGCCTAAATTTGACTTTTGTAATGTAACTTGAACAGTTTTGGCCTGATGTTTGTTTATTTACTGTGGCTAATGTTTTACAGTGCTATCTTTGTCTTTGCATCTTTTTTTAAATAATATTTGTTTGCTTATGATGAATTTAACAGTTCAGAAATAATTGATGTTCAGTGTGAGGAGGTTTTTCAGCATGATGGAATGATAAATGATTAATGTATGTCTTTGCGCAGCGTATCTTCGGCTACTGTGGATTCGTACTATTTGCTCAGTGCTTGACATTGCTATAAATGGCTTAGCTAAACCTATGTGGACTGAGAGTCAAATAGACTGAAATAACACAGAAATGGTATGATCTTTTTTTACATTTTTTAATTTCTTTCCATTGCATTGATTTCTGTAAGATCCTCTAGTTACTTTGGATAGTCCTTAAATATATAGGGCCTAAGGGATAATATACAGTCAGACAGGGTGATCAGGAAGTGGAAGGATCTTGTCACCCTAATTACATACATACCAAGTAAATACATAAATTATACTTATAAAGTTTAGTGGTTATTACACAAAAATAACTGACAGCAGGGTGCAACGATTGGCCAATCGGAAGTAGATGTTGCTCAGACTCAATTTAGGTTCTTCTTCACTGAACTGTGATACATCTGTCTCATCAAGATTTCGAGATGCACATTTATCCCTTATTTGACAAGTTTTCTAATATACACTGTCAGAAAAAAAAAATGTTGTCACTGGGACAGTACTCTAAAAGCTACATCTTTGTACCTTATTTACCCCAAAATGGTACCTAATAGGACCTTAAAGGTACATGTTAGTACCTTAAGTTTATATTTTGCACTATTGTAATATTTTGTAACTGGAGGGTGACAGCTTTGTACCTTTTTTTTTCTGAAACTGTAAGTATTTATAATAACTAAGTATTGCTAAATAAATAAATTCTGAGATTAAAGTAAGATAAAAGTAGAGATGTTGCTGTTGTCTCCACTGCATTAAAAGGATGGTTCACCCAAAAATGAAAATTATGTGGTCATTTACTCAGCCTCATGTTGTTTCAATCTGTGTGACTTTCTTTTCTTCAGTGGAACATAAAAGAAGATATTCTGAAGAATGTTGGTAACCGAACCGTTTTGGTTACCATTGATTTCCATTGTATGGACAAAAATATACCGTACATGCATTTCTCAAAATATTATCTCGTGTGTTCCACAGAAGAAAGAAAGTCATACAGGTTTGGAATGACACGTGGGTGAGTACATGATGACCAAATATTCATTTTTGGGTGAACTGTCCCTTTAAGGTTGTGTTTATGTTGAAGCGATTTTTGGATGTGATGATGTTGGCCTACATGGATCGAATTTATTTTTCTCCTGAATATTACCACATTTCTTGGGGTTAAATATAAACCAGCTTGATTTCAACACGTCAGTGTAAATGCTGTCTGTGGTCGAACATCTAGTATAAACAATTACTTATACATTTACGTAACGTGTGTATGTTTTTACCCTATGCAAATGGAAATCTCTGAAAGAATCCGACAGTAAAATGACTACCATGTCCTCATAGAGTGTTGCTTGGCATGAGTCTTAGTTTGTATTTGTGTGGTGTACTTGTGGAATTTTGTGTGTTGTGTGTGTGAGAGAGAGACTTTGTGTGTGAGTGTGTGGCAGTGTTATAATCTGGCAGTGTGTTTCCAGTAGGGTTCGTGTGAGGACAGCAGCAGTTTCTGTGTGTTCTGGACCCGTACTGACCCAACTGGCTCTGCGCATTACACATACACACATATTTCCTTAGCGTGTGTATGTGTATAGAGGAAATGTGTAGGACTGTTTGTCTCTAAGTCTCTGTCTGTTTTTATGGTTTTTATGGGTCTGCTGATCGTTCTGCCTTTATAGCCGTCAAAGCCAGTTTGCCGGGTTGCTCCAAGTGGGAGAACATTTCTACAGGGCTTTAGTATGTGATGTTGCATGTGTTCTTGTGTTTTCCACATGGTCTCCATGCCAGGCCTGGCATTCCTGCCGTGTGAGTCTGTATCTGTCTATTGCCATAGCTAATGAAGGTTTATGAAACCCTGACAGCATCTCTGTCCTGTCCTGTGTACAGGTGCCCCTCAGCCTCTGCTGTAAGGGCTGGGGCGCTTTTCTCTGTTTACTTAAATTTATGACCTAACTATGCCTAAATGCCACACTAGTTACAAAGTCAACCCGCATTATGCAGTTACTAGAAGTTTTTATCGCGAAGGAACCATAGTTACGCATGTCGATTGAAGTATCACCATAGCTACATGTTATAGAGTTACTATAGCATGACCACTGTATGTTACACAATAACCACTGGCAATATGTTATGGAATATGCTAATCTGTGGTTATCAGCAATGACTTTGCTCTCTGCATTTGTTTTCGAAAAGGTCAAAGTCAATTCTCAACATATTTTCAAACCATTTTCAATTTCGATTAAAAGATAACGATCGTGCATGTTACTTCGAAGGCGATCTTCTCCACTTTAGTCATGCGGTACATCATGTTCTTTTATATGATAAACAGGCCATTATACTCACAACCAGGTCATTCTGCTGAAGAGGGACAGTCTTTCTCGTACACCTTGGCCTACATACTTGTTAGTGCTATGTGATGCTTCAGTCAGTTTAATCATTAACTCTGAACTACCTTAAAGGGCATCACGATCATACATATAGTGAGGCCACAGTCAAAGTGTCAGTCATGCCGTCTTCACATGTCCAGACCTAAATATCGCAGGTGTTCTCAGATTTCTTAGATGCTATAATATGGCATCAGATGAAACATTAACCTGACCGGCCAATTAAGACACATTTAAGATTTTCGGAAAGTCTCTTATCTCCTTTATGCTATGTGTGCGTTGATAACAAGAGCCATATGCTGAAGCAAATGCGAATAGCGGAGATGTGATGTGCACAGTCCAAAATCTCAGTGTGCACACACACAGTTAATGATTTTGGAGACTTGTGAAAGCAAGCAAGGACTGAATGTACCTAACAATTGCTTTTAGACTGACTGCTTTTAGTATACTTTTTAGAAGGAAATTATGTTCATTATATTATATGAAGTCATTATATATTCATGTTATGATTATCAGGAAAATAGTATTATTAAATGGATTTGTCCTTCTAAGCTTCTGTCTTTTTGTTAAATCTATGTTTTGCACTTTACATGTGAAGTTCATTTTAGATTATTGAGTGTAATGCAGAGCATTGCTCATAATATTAGTTGATGAGGACTATATTGTATAGCAAGGCTATCACTCATAGCTACAGCTCACTTCACTAAGTCTGCTTTATGATTTAACAGATTTTTTTCCACACAGTCTGTTAAGAAATTAGGTACAATCCAGAATAATGAAACTCAATTACTTTTTTCCTGCACTTGAGTGCACCAGGATGTGAATGCTTATGTAAGCATGTATGAAGTAAAAATGACCTAAAATGTATATGAATTGCATTAATTTGTTTGAAAAAAATACCAATCTTTTATATATTTTCGTATATAATGACAGAGACATTTAAAGAGTTTGTTTGCGCCCACTGTAAGTAAGCCTGTACTTCAAAGTTCACATTCATTTTATTAAACACTTTTTGTTATTGTTTATTGATTAATTTAAAGTTGATTTATTATTATATGATTTACTTCTGTCCCCCTTTTTGAATCTTGTCTGAATATTGACAAGCAAAAAACAATCATTATCATTACTGGAAAAGCCATGAAAAATAGCAACATCTATGTGCAGGTTACCTTCAAAAATATGCACATAAGTAGTGCCATGTTTGTGGATGACTGCCAACTAAATCTTCACAAACAGGGATTGCAAATGTTTCACACATTTTGAATAGATGAATAAATGAACAGCCCAATTTAGATAAATGCATAATTATGTGCTGAAGTGTTTTGAAATGGTTTTATTAGTGTGAGTTTTCTGTGTGCATTAGAGTAATTTGAGAACTTTCTCTTGAAGAGGTTACACCGTGTGTGTGTGTGTGTGTGTGTGTGTGTGTGTGTGTGTGTGTGTGTGTACACTATATGAAGCTTTTCCTCACAACTTACTGAGTGAAAACAGGAAAACATCATTCAGGTGACATCACCCTCTATGCTGAGGTATGTTTATTTGGTTTACACTGTTCCTGTTTGTACACATTGAGTCGTGATGTCCCTGCGACCTTTCACATAGATCTCCACTTTATTGCTGATTCCATGTATTACGACAGTGAAAGGGTTAATCGCGTGCTTTTATCATATACGCATTTATTGTGACAATATTCTTATCACCTGATGCCTTTTAGCTGTTTGAGTTGGTGTGTCACTTTGACCTCTGACTCATTTCAGCATGGCTGCTGTTCCTCATGGGTTGCTCAGTGGGGCTATATATAATGATTTAATGTCTGTTTTTGCTGACCTTGTTCTTTTTTCTTTCTTTCTTTTTTTCAAAAAAGGCTTTTGATGGAGATATTGAAGCTGACATCTGTTTGTTTTCATTTGCACGGTCTCCTACACCCACTCCAGTCCTCCTGCCCTTCCTCGATGGTGTAGCACTGATAGCTAATTAATATTCCCCTCTATCTCGTACGCTCTTTATCAATGCGCATACATTAGTGATGCTTATATAAAGAACTCTGTTTTTCCCCCCATTCAGTTTGTGATACTGCCTCATAGCTTTAATCAGAATGATTTATTGTTCTATTAAAGAATTGTTAATTATTCAACACTCGCTATAGAACATCAGTTATGATTTGTGGTTTTGTTATTCTGTCGGTCTGTACTGAAGAAATAGGGAATGTCCTTTTTTTTATTCCTGCTTTATATACACTACCAGTCAAAAGTTTAGAATAATCACAATTTTTTAAATGTTTTTGAAAGAAGTCTTTTATGCTCACCAAGCCTGCATTTATTTGATCAAAAATGCAGTAAAAACAGTATTACTGCATAATATTATTTCAATTTAAAGTAACTTTTTTCCTATTTAGTATATTTTAAAATGTAATTTATTCCTGTGATGGCAAAGCTGAATTTTCAGCAGTCATTACTCCAGTCTTTAGTGTCACATGATCCTTCAGAAATCATTCTGATTTGGTGCTCAGTTTTTTTATCAGTTGTTATTGGCGCTCCAATATTAATAATGGTTCTTGTTATTATCAAGGCTGAAAAGTAGTTTTTGATGCTTAATGTTTGTTGATATGCTTGATACTTGGATATACATGATACTTGATACTAGGGTTGGGCCGATAGACGATGCCATCGTCCATCGCCGATGGCTGATAGACATCACGATGTTGAGCCGGCATCGTGATACCCCCCCATCCCAATACCGTGTTCGGAAAGAAAATGACGTGTAGGCGGAACCCCTTAAGGGAATAAATACTAGATGGGAGGAAAATATATATTTCAATATTTTTCCTCGCAGTTATATAATTGGGTAATTATTCTACATATATATTTCTGCATCAGGGAGCCGCTATTATACCTGGCATTGAAACTGGCATCGTGCTTTTGATCGCTTTTAGTTTCACTTTCGAGATTCGTGATCACTACTCTGTTTATACTATGGAGCGGCAGTACTTGCCACACATTTTACAAGGTTATATGTTTGTCAGTGGTACTGAGGATCTGCAAATCATTCGCCATGGTCCTCAGTCATCTCTCCTTGCTCTGTTTATGTGGTAAGTTAAATTTTATGTACTGTAGGATGTAACAGGCAACCTCTACACCGTGTCTACAGCGGACGTGTCGCACCGTGCCGCATCAGCTAAAGTCTGTCTACACTGGACGCGACAAAGCGACCCTTGAAAATCATTTGAAATTTGTGTCAGCACGTCATAAATAGAACGCGCCAGCAGTTTACTGTCGGGGATTTGTGGTGTCGCGCCGCATCCAGTGTAGACAGCATCACTGATTATAATGAGTTCTATAGACTGATCTATATATAATAAATCTCTATTATAGATAAGTGGTTCTATAGTATTTTGTGCGCTGTGCCACTCGCGTCCGGTGTAGACACGGTGTTAGGAATCGTGTTTTCCCTTATAAGGGGCCGTTCACATGTCGCGCCTAAAAACGCGTGGAAAACGCTAGGTGCGCCGCTTTCTGCTTTTTTCCAAAGCGTTCGGGCGCTTGCGCTCTGGAGGCGTCTGCCGTTGCTAAGCAACCATGACCTGCGCTCCATGAAGACGCGGAAGTTTCAAGTTCAACGGGGCTTCACACTGCCAGCGACAAAGCGACATGCTCCCATTCATTTTCAATGGAGAGCTGGTGACTTCCGGCGACACGAGCGACAGTGACCGTTGGCGACAGAATGTGGGCGTGTCCAGCGATGCGAGTCAAGCAACAAAAGTTAAGAAATGTTTAACTTTATGTAAATGAACAGCGAATTTCGTGAGCGACAACCAATAGGAGTGAAGAATCTGTCAGTGGCGCTCACACGTCACCGTCTCGAGTGCAGGCAAGACGGGACAGATTTCCTGAGCGATTTTACTGTTTTATATGATTTTACTGTAACCACATACATGGATATAAAAAAATGACGCGTGGAAAAGAAACCGTTGGCTGTCTAAGTGAGTTTGATTCATGCATTGATGGTTCGAGTTGTTAATTACATGATGCAGTGAGCAGTTTAGCACCGGTTAATGATTTAATGCACAAGCACTTCTGTAGTTTATATAACAACACTCTCCAACAGCAGAATGGTACTTTTATTTCTTTTAAGTCTAATTCCTAGTCATAATAGAATGATATCTTAGTTTTACCAGTAATATATAGTTTGTGATTGCATTTTATATGTCCAGACGTGCAGTCTACCAATAACAAGAGCGACAGCAGTAGGAATGAACGCCCACAAGCGTCTTCACAGCACAGAGTCTAGTGATGTACTATGAAGGTAAAATAATGCCTAAAAGATTTGCATACGCAGGGTAAGAGATGT